CTGAAAGCCGCCCCCGGCCCGGGGCCGCATCAGCTGTTTCAGATTTACCGAGAGCGGTTTCTGCAGCCGCGTGCTCTTAGCCAGGGTTTTTCACAACAGAGTTTTTTTCTCCCCCGTTTCCTGCATTTTCACTGCTAGCAGAGCCTTACCTGCCAACTTTTCACTCGTGGTTTTTCACACTTTTGAAAATATCGGCGCGGTTTGTTTATTGCAGCCTTCCCCGGGGCGGGTACTGCCTTCAGCTTCGGCACCGACAAAACGGCTTTACGGCGTTGTTCTCCCCGTGCAGTCTGTTCTCCAGCCTTGTCTGAGCCCTGAGAAGCTGCTGACCAGAAAACCGGCAGCTGCTCCTTTGTTTGCGAACCCGTTTATCCAAACCCCCCAAGTAACTGTTAAACACCCTCAGCAAAGGCTCAGTTTACAATACGCTGAAGTTAAATGTAAAAAACAACCGGTTAAGGAACAAAACCACATTACGGAACAGCTGAATTGAGCTCCTCCTGCAACTCTCCCGTTTGTCTCCCTCCCCAGGCATCCCTCAACTACCACAGCAGCGCAATTTTGGCAGCGGCGCTCGACACCCTTACCGCTCCGTACCGGCTCAGCTCCTCTCAGGGCTCGATGATGCATCTCGCTGAAACCCTCAACTTCTCCGGGCGGAAGGTGAGAGCCTGGTTTTTTTTTATCCTTTCCGCTCCCCTGAGCTGGAGGCAAGAGCTGCTGCTCTGTTCCACATCCAGCCACAAATACCGAGGAGCACAAACCCAGAGCGTTGATTTCCCACCCGACTCGTAGGTTGTGGCTGCGTGGGCTTCCATCCCATTCCCGGCCCGACGACGTGCCTACTCGCTCCCCGATACTTTACGCTCCTACCAGCACGACGCGCCCTGGGAGCTCCTGTCTCCGTGTAGGAAGCACAAGGTCAGCTGCTGTTTTGCTCAGTCTGTTGTGCTACGAGGAATTTGCAAAGAAAGCCCCATCAGGTAATCGGCCTTCGGGCGGCACCGCTCCCTTCAGACCCCTGGCGCTCGCTTCTTACCCAAGTCACTCGCGATCGGTTTATTAGGAGGGTCAACAGAATGGCAAAAAAAAAAACCCCAACCCCGTAGTGATGTAGCCAGTTCTCTGCTACAAAACAGCTGAAAAGCAGCCGAGTCACCCAAACTTTCCCCTGGAAAAAGACCACACGTCGGTTTTCTTCGCAGCAGCCGCCCGGGGAAGCCGCCCGCGTCGCCGCTGCACGCCTGCGAGAGCGCCGAGGAGGTGCTGCAGCGCTACCTGCACACCGTGTTTCCTGGGGCACTCAGGTTGGTACCAACCAGTCTTGAGGGTTGGGTTTGGTTTTTTAAAACCGGGAACTGATGGTGGAGCGAGTTTTCGGGTAACTTTATTCACCTTCTTCCTTACAGCACAGCCCACGTGCTCGAGCAGCCCTGTGACACGCTGCCTCCGTACCCCCAGTTTTTCTCTCCTCTTCTGACCAGACAAGGTTTCCTCCTGGACAAACCTCCCAGTTATTCCTCAGCAGGTAACAAGCGCCCCCTCCCCAAACTTAATTTGCAACAAAAACGATCACACGGGGGTGATCGAACAGAGGTAAACGAGAATCATTTAAAAAACCGCAACAAAACAAACGCTTGTGAGGTTGTAGGGCAGGAATGACGAGCGTTAAGCGATTCTCAGGCTTTGGAGTAAAGCAACTGTTTGTAACGTACACCAGGGTGGGCAGACAAACAGATGTGTTTCCCTGCAGCTGTGGAAAGCATCCCGGTCCTGGCAGCCCTGCAGTCGTCCCCGGTTGTGCGCACGCTCCTCCGCGGCTTGTACCAAGACCTACAGAAGCTGAACCCGGGGCGCTGGGCCAGCTTCTTCGCCGCCGGCGTTGAGCAGGAGGAGTTCCGGGAGGCCCTGGAGGAGCTCAGGACTCTGGCCCAGTGCTACGAAGCGGGGTTTGAAGCAGACGAGTCTGACGACGAAGCAGATTCAGACTAACTCCTCTTTATTACTCGGGATAAAGGAAGTAAGAACGGCGTGAAGATCACTCTCAGAATAAAGGGAACGGCTTTAAAGACGGCCCAACTGCTGCTTCCTTTTCATTTCAACAAAATCCTGGCACAAAGGCTGGCGTACGTTGTCCAGCTACTTGTGTTGTGTCATAAAAAAAGAAAAGCTGCTTTGTTTTAGGGGGCAGGAGCTGGTTTTTTACATTTGGTTTCTTTTCAAGCTTCACAAAATGAATTTGCTCTGCCCGTCAGAATTAAGACCACATAATAAATACGGAATTCAGAGCGTTTAACTTCCCTGCGGACAATCAACACAACGGGAAAAATGCACAAAAAAAAGAAAATAAATCGTGTTTGTTCCACCTGAAACCAGACAACTTATGCTACAGTATTTACACATTCGCTCCAAAGGCTGGTGGCCCAAATGTCACCGAGATCAGTGCCCGCGAGCGTCACTTCTGTCGTTTCGCCCGACACCTTCCTTCGTTCCTCTAGGCTGGAGAAGTGCAGCTCGGCAGGAGTTGAGCGGGGAATTGATCAGAAATAAAAAAACCAACCCACACCAGAGGTGCTTTGTGAAGTACCTGTGCAAAGTTTTCCTTTCTCCCCAGCACCCATCTAGCAGCAAAACTGGCAAACAACCCTCCTGACGCGGTCAGTAGCTTGTGGAGCCAGAAAAAACGTCAGTCGTCGGGTTCTTCCTCCGAAAGCAGAAGATCTTTATCGGACAACTGGTCGGTGTTGCTGGTGCTCGTGGCGTCCTCCTCATCTTCGGAGCTTCCGTCGCAGGATGTGTGGAACAGCCTCATCAGTTCTCTGAACCTGTGGGACACCTGAAGAACAAGGGAGGCCCAAGGTGACTCGAGATGAAATAGCATTTTGTGTTATCAAGTTGAAGGTGTTTTGTACTTGTATGTTAAAAAAAAAAAAAAAAAACCAAACCAACCCCAAATCGCATTTTTATGCAAGATTCAGTCAGTAAAGGGAAAGGGAAATGGGAGCGCACGAGGTCGTTCTGGTCTCTGGAAGGACAGTTACGTTCTGACTTGCAGGTAAAAACCAGGCAGTTTGGGAAAATTCCAGAGCAGTTGGAAGTAAAAGGTTGAAGACCCAGCCTGAAACAATTCTGGTGCCAAACGAGGCCAGAGAAGCGATGGTGCTGCTGTGAAAAGGCATTTTTTGGCTCCAGCGGAGCCAAATTAGGGTTTGCTCTGGTTTCATATTTTTTTTTTATTATTTTTTCTCTGACACAACATCAAATTAAAGTTACATTTGGGAGACTAACAGGACAGTTGCCCCCCGCCTTGCCTTCCTTTCCGCCCCCTCTCCCCGCTGGCTGGAGCAGACACGAGCTTTTCCGCGCCGACCCCTCACCTCGCTCGCGGTCTTGTTGCCCAGTTTCTGTGAGATGGCGTGGAAGGTGTCCAGGTGGGCTCCTTTCTCCTGACACGTGGTGAGGATGACTCTGTCAGCCTCCCTGGGAAACGGGACAAGAGCTGTGAAAGCAGCCGAAACCAAGCGTCGACGCACTTCAGCGCCCCCAAACCTGAGAGGCCCCTTCCTGGGTAGGGGCAACGACCACAGAGCGAGTCCTGCAGGATTTGTGCTTTAGCCCTTGGGGCGGTGCTGGGGCCAGCGCTGTTCAGTGTGTTCATCAGCGCCCTGGAGGAGGGGACAGAGGG